ATCCATGGGTACCGCCAAAAAAAAAAAAAAGAGGTAAAAAAGAACGGTAACCTGGTTGCCGAGTTCACGAAGTGAATTGGCTTGTTTTACAACGTCGTTGCCAAGCGACGAAAACCCAACCCCGATGGCAAACACCGGGGGGGGCGGCTTGGTTTACAACGTCCTTGCCAAGCGACGAAAACCCAACCCCGATGGCAAACACCGGGGGGGGCGGCTTGGTTTACAACGTCCTTGCCAAGCGACGAAAACCCAACCCCGATGGCAAACACCGGGGGGGGCGGCTTGGTTTACAACGTCCTTGCCAAGCGACGAAAACCCAACCCCGATGGCAAACACCGGGGGGGGCGGCTTGGTTTACAACGTCCTTGCCAAGCGACGAAAACCCAACCCCGATGGCAAACACCGGGGGGGGCGGCTTGGTTTACAACGTCCTTGCCAAGCGACGAAAACCCAACCCCGATGGCAAACACCGGGGGGGGCGGCTTGGTTTACAACGTCCTTGCCAAGCGACGAAAACCCAACCCCGATGGCAAACACCGGGGGGGGCGGCTTGGTTTACAACGTCCTTGCCAAGCGACGAAAACCCAACCCCGATGGCAAACACCGGGGGGGGCGGCTTGGTTTACAACGTCCTTGCCAAGCGACGAAAACCCAACCCCGATGGCAAACACCGGGGGGGGCGGCTTGGTTTACAACGTCCTTGCCAAGCGACGAAAACCCAACCCCGATGGCAAACACCGGGGGGGGCGGCTTGGTTTACAACGTCCTTGCCAAGCGACGAAAACCCAACCCCGATGGCAAACACCGGGGGGGGCGGCTTGGTTTACAACGTCCTTGCCAAGCGACGAAAACCCAACCCCGATGGCAAACACCGGGGGGGGCGGCTTGGTTTACAACGTCCTTGCCAAGCGACGAAAACCCAACCCCGATGGCAAACACCGGGGGGGGCGGCTTGGTTTACAACGTCCTTGCCAAGCGACGAAAACCCAACCCCGATGGCAAACACCGGGGGGGGCGGCTTGGTTTACAACGTCCTTGCCAAGCGACGAAAACCCAACCCCGATGGCAAACACCGGGGGGGGCGGCTTGGTTTACAACGTCCTTGCCAAGCGACGAAAACCCAACCCCGATGGCAAACACCGGGGGGGGCGGCTTGGTTTACAACGTCCTTGCCAAGCGACGAAAACCCAACCCCGATGGCAAACACCGGGGGGGGCGGCTTGGTTTACAACGTCCTTGCCAAGCGACGAAAACCCAACCCCGATGGCAAACACCGGGGGGGGCGGCTTGGTTTACAACGTCCTTGCCAAGCGACGAAAACCCAACCCCGATGGCAAACACCGGGGGGGGCGGCTTGGTTTACAACGTCCTTGCCAAGCGACGAAAACCCAACCCCGATGGCAAACACCGGGGGGGGCGGCTTGGTTTACAACGTCCTTGCCAAGCGACGAAAACCCAACCCCGATGGCAAACACCGGGGGGGGCGGCTTGGTTTACAACGTCCTTGCCAAGCGACGAAAACCCAACCCCGATGGCAAACACCGGGGGGGGCGGCTTGGTTTACAACGTCCTTGCCAAGCGACGAAAACCCAACCCCGATGGCAAACACCGGGGGGGGCGGCTTGGTTTACAACGTCCTTGCCAAGCGACGAAAACCCAACCCCGATGGCAAACACCGGGGGGGGGCGAATTGGAGGAGAGGGGGGGGGCGTAACCTGCGAAACATTCTACTCATTTTTGAAGAGAGACTCTTCAAGCTCACGCACACCATGTATTGAGAGGGGCAGATGAACCATGTCATGATTGGAGCAAGGGATAACTCATAGTTGAAGAGACACTTCAAGCGCACGCACAAGATGCATCAAGAGGACGAGGAATCATGTCATGATTGGAGGCAGGGGGGGGGGGGCTTACCTCTAAATTATTGTAATCATAGCTGAAGAGAGAGGTGCGTACATTTTGAAGCTACCTCGGAACCGCCTCCGCACCCCTGGGCAGGCGATCAACACTTCAAGCACGGCACCAGCTGCCGTTTTATTCAGTTTAGCGTTGGGCATGATTACGCTGTCCCGAATTGAATTCGTCCCCCGCACGAGATATACCGTCCTCCTCCACAAACTGACTCACCTCCCCACCAGCGCCCGAATGGCAGGATCACCTCCAGTCTGCGGCGCCCCCGAAGAGAAATCTCTCACTGCCGAAAGCTGTGCGCCAAGAGACAGAGCCGGCGCGTTGGGGTGGCTGGGCAATGAAACCTGCGGCGGCACCGATCCGGACATGCACAATGAGCTCAACAGGTGCGACAAGTAACACGAGGAGGCTGATTGGAAGGACTCGCTGGTTTAAGCTGGAGCGTCGGACGCGGCATGGTGTGGTAGTGTGGAAAAGTTCCGCTTTCACCTCGCACGCTCGAAACAACACCAAAATCAATACCCGTCAACTTGTCCGCGTCTCGCCCCACAGCTCCCACGGTAACACCTCGTGTTTTCGACAGAAACAGAGAAACTACAGACAAGACTGAGTCAGGCCCAAAGGAACGAAGCAGCAACCAAGCGCGGCATCACGAGAAACATGGAGGGGTCACGCTCGACCCCAACCCCGCCGCAATCACCCACCTCTTCCAACACCGGCAGCTCGGCCCCGAGGATCGTTGCCGGGTCTTGGCCCCTGCTGCTCCTGCTGGAAGCCGAGGGCGGAGGTCCTTCCGACGGGGGTACGACACGAAAGCACTGGGAGGCGATCCGTTGAGGGGACGGACGCCGCCGAGAGAAGAGACGTTTGTTTAGTTCCCACAGCACAAAAAAAAAAAAGAACACATCAGTATTCTAGAGAGAGAGGGTGGGAGTTGTTTAGACACACGTTCATTTAGTTCCCACACACAAAAAAGAAGCACACCAGTCGGGAGAGACAGGGAGTTGTGTCGAATCTCCGAGAAAGAAACTAGAGAAGGGGTTCAG